CGCCACCGACTCTCGTCTCCCTCTTCCTCAATTCAAGGCCCTATCTGCGGATTTGACTGCTCAACACGCTAGCGCTACATCTTTGACATCTTCTTCTTATACTCCTGGCTCGTGGGTACCTCTGAGTACCGCTCGACGTGACTTCGCACTGGGAGGTCCGGACGCGTTTGACAAGTGGATTGTAGGATCAATGATGATCAATCCAAGGGAGGCTTATGTTGAATATAATACTTCCATCAAGGTGAGTGCTTTATACACCCCTTGAAACCCAGGTCTACAATAATTTATCCAACGGAGGTAGATTTGGGAAAAGTTCCGTTCGACCTTTGGTGTAGCAGGGGTAAATTTACTTCTAACCCTGAGTGCCGAAGCTGTTGCTGATACTTTAATAGGGTATCATTCGATATGAACCGATTCTGAAACGGTACATGCGTGAAGTACTGCTATCTTCTATCGAGGATGGTATTTCGTATGTCGAACTTCGAGTGAACTTTTACTACAAGTACGTGATAGGTGTTTAAACGTTTTTTAATCACTTCCGAACTAACTTTTGGTCGATAGGGTTGGTATTCGTGAGGATGGGTCTGAAAATCTGGTTCATCGTGACTGGATGGTCCTGTTCAACGAAGCGATTGAAGAGGTCAAGGCGAGCATGAAAGAACAAGGACGGGGGGACGAGTTCGTTGGCGCGAGGGTATGGATTAGTCCATTCATTGAAACTCAAGGAGAATTTACCACTACAGTCTTAGATTATTTATGTTACTCTCCGCTTCATCGACAACGAACAACTGGCCTGGTACATGGATGAATGTATGGCCCTCAAAGAAGAATTTCCAGACTTGCTTGCCGGTACGCGAACTATCAGATATGACCTCACGAGCTGACTAACGGTTCGCGACCTTCAGGATTTGACCTGGTTGCACAAGAAGACACCGGCTATCCACTCATTTATTACATCGAGTCGTTGCTTGGGTTTCAAGCTGAAACCAAGAAACGCGGGCTAGACATTCCATTTGTGTTCCACGCGGTACGCCTCGTTCTATTTCAATGTTTGTCGATTGTCTTTATTTGGCATTCATAGGGCGAGACACTCGACGATGGAGGTGCTGCGGATTGCAATCTCTATGACGCATTGTTGCTTGGAACAAAGCGCATAGGACACGGGTGAGTATAGCTACCTTTGTTTCTACGAGGGTATTTCTGACTCTGTACTTAGCTTCTCTTTGGCGAAGCATCCCCTAATTATGCAAATGTGCAAAGAACGCGGGGTTGCCATTGAAGTTTGCCCTATCTCCAATGAGATTCTGGTGTGTGATATCAGCCTAAGAATAGACTCACAACGCCAACCTGAAATGTCATATATGCAGCGACTTACGTCTTCCATGCCAATGCACCCACTTCCCGTGTTGCTTAACAATGGGCTGACCGTGGCCCTGTGTCCAGACGATCCGTCAGTGTTTGGTAACATGGGACTTTCGTTCGATTTCTATCAGGTGCGTTTGGATCACTGCCTCGAGAGGGGGGAAACTATAATTCATTGCTATTGTTAGGTTATTGTGGCCAGCGAGATAACAAGTCTGCTGAGCTTGGGTCAACTGGCAAAGCAGAGTCTTGAGGTAAGTCCATACGAGCTTTTGCCGCAGCCATGGGCTAATTTGAGGGCCGTTTAGCACTCTTTGCTTAATGACAAAGATAAAAAGGCAGCAATCCAGTTGTGGGAGAAACGATGGAAAGCATTTATTGATGATATAGTGACGTCCCACTCGTAGTAAACTGTGCATATAGCGTCGCAACTAGTACACTTTGTGAAGTACCAATTGTTGCATGTCAAATGCCGCCAAACAGGGTGCCGTTGTGTATCACGTGACACTGGGCACCCTCGGCCAGACTCTACCACAACGACTTTATGCACAGCGATAGCACGTTTCGTCGGGGATCACGGCCATGGATATGACTTGCCGATGAAGAACATGCGGTCGGAAACCTTGTCGAGTCATCTTTCACATTGCTCGGGTATATATAGTGTCTGAGCGCCCCACCTGGTCTCATAGCGACCGCACGGCTATTCATCGACCCTGCACTTGTGTCATGTCTCAATTGGAGGAGTACAACGCTAGGCGCAAGGCTCTAATATATGAAGAACGTGCTCTTCGCTTTGACTCGAAAGCTATCGCGGGTGCAACCCCGCAAGAGCTACGTGCCGCAGAAATCGTAAACCAGTTGCGAGCGCGTGAGGCGCAAGAGATATGGAGCTCTAGTACGGAAAAGCTCACGTACCCTGGAATGGAATTCCTTGTGGCAAAGGAAACAATCGGTACGTTGGTTTCACCTTGCTCAACGGGTATTAAAATTAAAGGTAATGGCTATGTGAAAGTCCAAACTGAGTTGTATCAAATCATTAAGAGGGTGCGTATAATACTATGATATAACTGATTCTTCACGGTATTGAACTCGCCTCGGCGGCTGCAGATGCCCAAAGGTGCACTCTTACATGGTCATATGGACGCTATGTGAGTTTGCCATTAGCATCTAACTATTCTGGATTTGAACTGCTTCCAGGTACGACGCGTCATTTTTGTACAAACTCGCACAGCAACACTCCAATATGCATATTCGGGTCTCGTCTCCTATCACTTCAGCCTCAGCTTTCCCGCCTCCTGAATTTATGGCTCTCTCTCTCGATCTGACGGCTTTATATTCGTCCAATCCGTCGTTAGCGTCTGAAGAATACGTGGTTGGGTCGTGGACACCTTTGGGCAAGGCTCGAGCAGAATTCGAGATGGGCGGCCCAGAAGTATTCGACGAGTGGATTGTGGGATCGATGATGATTCATCCCCGGGAAGCCTATGCCGAATTCAACACTTCAGCCAAGGTGAGCACGCTAAGGGTGAGAGCCAAGAGGTTGATGCTAAACGGTTTCGGAGCAGATCTGGAAAAAGTTCCAATCAACATTTTCAGTAACCGAGGTAAGATGCGCTATTGATGTAGTAGATCACCTATTCATAACTTGTTCAGGGTATTATGCGATACAGGCCAATTGCGAAGGCATATATGCGCCAAGTGATGCTATCTGCAGTGGAGGACGGAATTTCACATGTTGAAGTTCGGTTCGGTTTCCCTCGGTAAGTACTTGTGCTCACTATTATTTTATACATACTGACCTGCTCGCCAGTTTCGGTATTCACGAAGACGGCTCCGAAACGCTTGTACACCGTGATTGGTTGGTTATTTTTGAGGAAGCTGTGAATGAGACCAGGGCAATCATGAAGGAGCAAGATCGTGAAGGTGACTTTTTGGGTGCAAAGGTATACTTAAGAACCATTACCAGTTGACCTACACTAACTAGTCCTTTAGATTATTTATACAGCCCTTCGCTTCCTTACAAATGAGCAGCTCGCTTGGTTCCTGGAGGATTGTATGACTCTCAAAAAGGAGTTTCCTCACATCGTAGCCGGTAAGATTTGGACTCAGTGGCCGAGATTTCAGCCAACGTCTGAAACGTTTAAGGCTTCGACCTGGTTGGGCACGAAGATACCGGTCGCCCTCTATTCTATTATGCTGAATCCCTGCTCGGATTTCAAGCTGAAACGAAGAAACGGGGGCTCGATATTCCATTCCTCTTCCACGCAGTACGTCCAGCCGGAACTTACATGTGAAACAATGCGGTTGATTAACTACATGTCTTATAAAATAGGGCGAAACGCTCGACGATGGCGGTGTAGCGGACATAAATCTCTACGATGCAATTTTGCTAGGAACCAAGCGTATCGGGCATGGGTTCGTCTGAAGTACACTTGATCATGAGCAAATGCTAATCTACTTGGTAGATTTTCGCTAGCCAAACACCCACTACTTATGCAAAAGTGCAAGGAGCGCGGTATAGCTATCGAGGTTTGCCCGATATCCAATGAAATCCTGGTACAAGTTTCTTCACATACCATGCTCGAAATAAGATTTCTGACTTTCTAACTGCGCATATAGCGCCTGACGTCGTCCATGCCTATGCACCCGCTCCCCGTGCTTCTCAATAACGGGCTCACGGTTGCGCTCTGCCCAGATGACCCCGCAATCTTTGGCAACATGGGACTGTCGTTTGATTTTTATCAGGTGGGTGGACCCAATGAGTAAATAAATAAAAATAGGTCACTAAAGCCTAGGACCGTTGCAGGTAATTGTGGCGAGTGAAGTCACCAACATTTTGAGTTTGGGACAGATGGCTAGGCAAAGTCTGGAGGTACGGGATTTTCAGTCCGGCTTTGATTCATACTAACTTCGGCCAATATAGCACTCATTACTCGAGCCAGAAGACAAGAAGAGAGCTATCGAGTTGTGGGAGGCACGTTGGGCGGCATTTATTGAAGAGATTGTAGCATCTGGTTGACCTAAAATCTGAACCAAGCAGTTCACAGCAACTGAATGTACAGTGGGCGTCAAATTGATTGCACCACGTGACAGTCAACCCCC